TCTCGGAGCTGCTGGAGGTGCTCTTGGCGCGACTCAAGTCAGCTGCGAAGGTAGGAGTGAGACCAGGGTTCAGGGGGCGCCTACAGGAGCCTTAAAGCCGCGGCAGACGTGGGGGCTGAAGTTAGGGCCCCAAGCGTGGGGGGGCCTTACCTGGTGCAGACTTGGTAACTGTCTTCTTGGCGTCGGCAGGCTTCCCCTCCGTCTTGGTGCCTGTACAGACATACGCCTCTCAATACAACTTTTACAAACGGACCTCCTGAATGGCTCGTCCAATCCTGAGGGTCATTCATTCATTCATTCATTCAACAGTTACTGAACGTCTGCTGAGCCAGGGGCTGAGATGGCCTCTGGGGAGGGCAGTGTATCAGGCAACCACATGGAGCCACGCCCGCCGTGGGGCACAAGGGCCGGCATCTGGTCTCCTTCTTTCCTGGTCTTGACAACGCCTTCCACGCGCCTTAGAAACAGGCGACCAGCATGGGCCTCTGGAGCGGAATGGCCTAATGCTTGTCACGGAGGCCCGTGGCTGCACTGCGCTGGCGCCATGGAGACGCCGGGGCAGGAACAGTGAAGTCTCCCATAATTCAGGACAGTCCTCTCCACTCACGGTTTTCCCAAATGCACCTGCCTGCTACCCTCCCATGGAGACCACGGCTGCCACTTGCCAACACACCCGTGCAGGACTGACAGACCTGCACAGCTCACGTGGCGCTGGCCGAGCTACGGCTGGGCCCAGTCACATCCCCACTCTCCTCCCCAGTGGTCCCCACAGGGAGGAGGGGCCGTACTCACCAGCAGGCCTCCTGGGCAGGGGCGTGGGGGCGCTCCTGCTGCTCGGCCCAGTTGAGGCAACAGAGGCGGCCGCGGGGGCCTTTGGAGCGGACTGGGTGCTCCTGGAGCCGGGCCTGGAGGCCGGGGCAGAGGCTGGCTTGGACGGCGTGGCCTTCTTCTCGGGAACCTTCGTCTCTGCCACAGGCTGACAGCAGGAAAGTGGGAATAAGAGCTGCACGTCAGCAACAGCCCCAGCAAGTCCTGCCAAAGGGGGCTCCACAGATGCACAACCAGAACACAGGGCCTGTGGACCTGGCAGCTACTGACAGGAAATACATCTGGTGCCAGGAACAGTGAGCGCACGACCTCCAGCCGCCCTGACCCGCTGAGAACGAATGGCCCTGAGAGTGCCCCTCACACACGTGCCTCAGGCTCGACTGCATTAAGTGCTGATGTAGTCAGCGGATTAAGTGCTTGGCCAACGATGAACAAACACATAAACAGAACAAACATTTTAAATGATGTCCAGTCCAAAAGGAGGGCCTATGTAATACTTCCAGCAATAAACATGAACAAACAGATGTCCAGGCAAAGTCACATTCTTTTGGCTTCGATGTGCCTGGTGGGTGCTGAACAGGCCAGGGCTGCAGAGGGGAGAACACTGGCCCAGTCTGCCCCCAACTCAGTGTGTTCTTGGGCAAATCCCCGAGCCTCTCTGGGCTCAGTTCCTGTCTGCACACAGGAGGCGGGGACAGAGGGTCTCCAGGGCAGCTCAGAGAAAGGGGAGGGCGGGACCAGAGGGCGGGCGTCTGAGCCCGAGGTGACCAGCGGGGATGAGCAGCACAGGTGTCCCAGCTGGACCGAAGGCAGAGCGGTCTCAGCGCACAGGCGCCTGGTCGCTGTTCCCTGGGGCCTGGGCATGGTGTCACTAGCAAGGAAACGAAGGAGCCAGGGCAGCCTGGCCCCCGGGAACAGGGCGAGTGCCCTGTGTGCCATGTTACTCCGGAGAGGAAGCCAAGCCACAGGCCGTGGGCCCAGACCTTTAGCTCCAAGAGAAGCTCCCTCTTCCCTCTAATTTGTAGGAACTGTTTCCTAAAAATCAAGAAAAGCTGTCAACTGGGTAAGTGAGGACCAGAAAGCTTCACTGCGGAAATCTTATCATCCCTCGTCTATGAGAGGATTTCTTGGTTTCTTGGCCAGGATTTCAACCTGGATCACAATTCTTAGGTTCCACCAGTTTTCTTTACAAGATTAGACTCAGGCACTTAGACACCAACATGGAGGCTATTTCCCAGGATGACCCGAAAGGACATCAAGCTGATCTCCAGGCCCTTCTCACGTAACATGAGCTGTGGAGGCAGACAGACTCCCTGCCCCTCCTCCTAGAGCAGCGGTTCTCAACCTGTGGGTCGCGACCCCTTTGGGGGTCGAACGACCCTTTCACAGGGGTTGCCTAAGACCATCAGAAAACACATATATAATTACATATTTTTGTGATTAATGACTATGCTTTAATTATGTTCAATTTGTAACAATGAAAATACATCCTGCGTATCAGATATTTACATTATGATTCATAACAGTAGCAAAATTAGTTATGAAGTAGCAACGAAAATAATTTTATGGTTGGGGGTCACCACAACATGAGGAACTGTATTAAAGGGTCACGTGATTAGGGAGGTTGAGAACCACTGTCCTAGAGGAACTCTGTGAAGCGAATGCTGTTCCAAACTGACCATTTTCTGGGCGACCATGTGTGGGTGACCTGGAAAACGGAAAAGCCTCGCATGCAGCCCGGTGAGAGGTGGCCTAATGCCCAAAGCAAAGACAGTTACCCCGCGCGGCGGGGCCTGCTAGGGCGAGGGGCAAGAACTTACCCGCAGGGAGAGGGTCAGTTCGCTTCCGCAGGGGGAGGAAAGGGAAGGACAAAGGGAACCGGCTGGGAATTTGATGCGGGAATTACAGCAAAAATGAAAATCTGACAGTATGTGGGAAGGAGAGGGAACCTGATTACGAGTGTGTGAACAGGGCAGAGTCAGGGGAGCTGGGCGAGAGGAGGAGAAACCAAAGCCGATGGAACACGGCCGCCACGGGCAGGGAAAGGCACCGAGCACAAGGCCTTCAGGTGGGGGAGCTGCCGCAGGGCCCCCCAGTCCCACCAGCGGGAGCCTGCCCTGCGCAGAGCTCAGGCGACACTTACCTTGGGCCTGGCGTCCTTGGCAGGTGAGGCGGCTGGCCTGGCGGAGAAGTGGACTGTGTTTTGGCTTTCGATGAAGTCTTTGCAGGATGAGTTGTGGCCAAAGGCTTTAAGTTGATTTGTTGGTGTTTTGTTTTTTTTTAAACAGGCCAACATCAAACACACAGACAAGAATAAAAACAAAATGTAAAAAAAGTATAAATTGCACAATTCAAAGCAAAATGATAAGCAATGAGAAGATGCAACTGAAAATCAGCATTCCTTTTTTCTGAGTTCAGTAAAGAGCAGAAAGGCTCCAGGACAGAGAAGGAACTGGGCACTGTTTCTCCGTGACCTGCCACAAACGCCAGCAGCTGGACAGCTGCGAGTTAAATTCAGTGGTAGCTTTAAACAATTAACCAGCTCCTGCTGGCTGTGACAATTCTGTGGAAAAGCGACCAGCAGGTGACTACGTTACCATTACCTGCACCTCGATGAGGCAACATCAGCTTCCTGTTTAAGACGACACGAAAGTGTGCATTTTGAACTTTGCGATTAGTACCAATTAGTTTCTGAAGCTATGATTCATTCACCTTAAAAATTTGTGTTCCCTTTCATGAATGCAAATTAGTACCAATTAGTTTCTGAAGCTATGATTCACCTTAAAAATTTGTGTTCCCTTTCATGAATGCAGATTTTAGGATCTATTTCTTTTCTTTTTTTGGTTAAGCCTCACCCGAGGATATTTTTCCATTGATTTTTAGAGAGCGTGAAAGGGAGGTGAGAGATAGAGAAATATCAATGTGAGAGAGACACATCAATTGGTTGCCTCCTGCATGCACCCTGACCAGGGCCGGGGTCGAGCCTGCAACCAACGTATGTGCCCTTGACCGGAATCAAACCTGGGACCCTACAGTCTGTGGGCCGACTTTCTATCCACTGAGGCAAACCGGCTGGGGCTAGACTTGAAAAAGAGTTCTGCAATTCCTTTTGCTGTTGTTGAGAAGCAGAAACAACCTCTACAGAACATTTCCACGGATACTCAAGACAATAGTGTCAAAGGCAGCGATATTAAGGTCTGAGTTAGGCCATTATGGTAAAATGGGAATATTACCCTAATCTTACCATAATATTAAGCACATCCAAATTTGAGAAAAGACTAACAACTCAGAAAAAAGAAATTTCACTCACAATTCAAGCAATAGCTGAAGGTACCGTCAACAAAATGACAGCCGTCAAAGATAACCCACCATTCCGGCAACTACCTTGGCTTTCTTCTCGGGGCTTGGTGGGAGCTCCTTGTTTGGAGGGGCAGTGATGTCATTTCCGGTCACGCTCGCAGCAGCTGGCCCTTCTTCTGGCTTGGCTGTTCCTGAGGGGAGGAAGTCATGCTGAACAAATGGTTCTCACACCCATTTCAAAAATGCGAGCCTTCGCAGAGACAGACAACTAACTAGCACTTCGCTCTGAAGAAAGCCCGCAGGGCTGTGCCGCTGAAAGGTGGACAAGACTCCTACGTTCCCCTCCTGGTGACGGAGGAGTTCAGATTCCAGAGATCCGGCCAGCCTGTCCCTGTGGGGAGCAACCTAAGTGGGATTTGCACAAATGATCAAGGGAAGGAAATGGCCCTCAAGCTTGGCTTCCCTTCCCTGGAGACAGATAGGCACAGGGTTCTGTCGCCCAACCACCAACTCCCAGAGCACACAGGACCAGCCCTCGGCTCCTCGTGTATCTGCCGGAATAAAGGCTGCACAGATGGGCCGCGTGCCAGGAGATCACGCATGTCCTCCCCTGACTTCCTCTCCCTGGGAAGCTCTGTGCAGAGGATGTGAGCTGAACGCGATCTGATTCCGGCAGTGACCCAGATTCCCAGCGAGGCAGGAGACCCGGGAAACCAGACCCGGCCAGAAACAGCCTCCAGCCCTGGGCTCTGCCCGCAGCACCGCTGCACTGCGGAGGCTCCTCCAGATTTCAACAGGGCCCCCGGAAAGCACTAAAAGGCCCCTGCATTTCGCCCGGGCACAGGGAACACCGTTCTAATTGCCACAGAATTCAGAAGCCACAAAAGTAACTTCGACCACAGAAAATAAAAAACCTTCAATGAGGCCAAAATAACAAAAAGTCAAAAGGCAAGTGATAAATCGGGAAAAACACCATGAGAACTTCACATCAAAGACCAAGAAATTATTATGTCAACTACTCCTATAAAGACCAACAACCCAGTAGAAAAATGGCCAAAGAATATGAACACAGTTTATAGAAATACAAATCACGTTTGAAAGTAAGAAACTATGTCCAGTCTTTAAGAAAAATGAAAATTAAAACTACCCAGATATGCTACTTTTAACCTAACACATTATCAAAAGTTCTGAGATGGGAAAGTAACTGCTGGGGACGATATGAGGACACGCACTGCTGGGACGTGTATGAGATGGGACTCATGTGCAGGGCGTTCCCGCAGCATCTCAGAAAATGACAAGTGCAGATACATTCTAATCCAGAAATCCAACTTCTAAAAATGTGCATCTTAGCGATGCAGTCATACGCCTGCAAAATAGCAAACATCATGGTCTTTTGTTTGTTCATCCTCACCCAAGCATATTTTTCCATTGATTTTTAGAGAGAGAGGAAGGGAGGAGAGACCGAGGGAGAGAGAAACATTGATGTGAGAGAGACACATCGATTGGTTACCTCTGACCAGGGCCAGGGGTAGAGCTAGCAACTGAGGTACATGCCCTGGACAGGAACTGAACCCAGGATCCTTCAGTCCACAGGCCAACGCTCTATCCACTGAGCCAAACCGGCCAGGGCCAACATTGTGGTCTTTTACCAGAGCACTATTATGAAAAGCAAAGGCCTGAAACAATCCAGACATACATTCATAAGAAACTGATTATATCAATGCAAACTCAGAATCTGAAAAAGCACCAAAAAACTCTTTTGTGATTGATATAGAACCATCTCTAAGTGAAAAAAAGGAAAGAAAGAAAAAAGCCAGGCACAGAACCGTATGCATAACATAAAACCATTTGTCTAGAAAAGAATGGGAGAAAATACATTTCTGTAACAAATACACCTGTGTGTGATTTTTAAAATCTTTGGGCCTGGCCAGTGAGGCTCAGTGTCAACCTAGGAACCAGGAGGTCGCGGTTTGACTCCCAGTCAGGGCACAGGCCTGGGTTGTGGGCTCGATCCCCAGTGGGGGGCCTGCAGGGAACAGCCGATCAATGATTCTCTCTCATGGATGTTTCTCTCTCTCTCTCCCTCTCCCTTCCTCTCTGAAATCAATAACAATATATCGAAGAAAGAACAACGTCATGCCAGGTGGGCAGCAATGTCTTGCGCAGCAGAGCTGGTGCCTTACCCAACGTGTCCCTTCTGCCCCAGCCCTGACCACTGAGCGTCCTCAGGGGCCCAGGATCTTCAGTGAACACACGACCTCACTGCCCGTGACATAAACGTGCAGCACCTCAACCTGCACAGTGAGCGTCACCCAACGAAAAACACGTGAGCCATGCACAGCACCAGGTGTCGCCCTCCCAGTCGGTGCTTCTTGCCATTAGTGACCACTCCCTCTACATCCCGTTAAAAAAGTGTGACACAGAACTCATTAACTGCTCCCTCTGCTGGATCTTCCCATACCACCTGCTGATGAACCCAGGGTCCAAAACACCTCTCTCTCTCTCTCTCTCTCTCTCTCTCTCCGAACCCAGGGTCCAAAACACCTCTGTCTCTCTCTCTCTCTCTCTCTCTCTCTCACACACACACACACACACACACACACACACACACACACGTCTTACACATCACCCAGTGTTCCAGTCCAGGTGACCCCACCTCGGCTGCCTTTCCCCTGTCGTGACGCTGGTATTGCACCTGCTACTACTCTCTGAATTTAATGGTCATAACAGGATTTTTTTTGCCTCCAGTCAATCTTCTGTTTCCAGCATTGTATCGACTGAGCTGAGTCTTAATTTACTGCCACAGGCAGTCACCAGTGTTTTAAACACAAGAGAACCCTGGAGCATCCGAGGAGGGCGTTGGAAACCTGGGCTCCAAACCACTCTCCAGATTCCCTCCCTCACGATTTCTGCCAGGACGCAGGCGGCTCTGGCCTCAGTGCTCAGGCCGCACCTTCTCCAGGAGTCTCCAGGTGAAGTGACAGGTCTGCATGGCGAAGGCTGGTTAATGAGCCTGTGGTATCTGGCAAACATATGTGGACCAAGCTGAGCCAGTAAGATACATGTACGTGCTCTTTCTCTAAAAGAAAGAAAACTTCAACTAAGTAACCTTGGGTCCCTGAGACTTAAGGTAGCACAGAGCGGGACCCAGAGCCCAACGAGGCCAACCCAATGTCCTGTACAGACCGAGTCACAAAGAAAGCAAGAAGTAAGAGATGGCAGAGAAAAGACAGTTTCCAGAAGGGAAAGGAATGGAGACATATGAGGGGGAAGCACAGGTCCCGAGACACATGGCCGCAGGCTGCTCTTCCCGTCGGACTCTCCTACGGCCTGTCCTCAGCGTCTGGTACATGGAGCTCCTCGGAGTGGGCAGCATCCTTTGCAATCGAGTGCTTCTCAGGAGACGGCCCCACAGACACTCGCCCTTGCCCTTCTAGCTGAAATGTGCTGTCTGGGCCGCACGCCTCGTCTGCCTGGAAGCTTTCCTCCCCATTGTCAGATCCTCGGGTCCAAGGCCACCTTTTCCAAACTGTCCACGATTTACAACCCTCTCACCAGCACGCCCATCGACACTAGGCCACCAGCTGCTGGTGGGTAGGACAACGCCAGCCCCTGGACAGTGCGGATGCCGGCACATGGCAGGCACGCTGACTGCATTCGTCTTCACACCGCACCTGGCAGGGGCAGCAAACATCTATCAGGTGACTGGATCAGTGGGGTGTGCCAGCCATTTAAAATTTTCTATCAGCATGAACCTCAGTGAGCGTGAACTCGGATGAACTTGTTCTGAAACAAACAAAAACCTTCATGCATCACCACCGAGAAGGCCTCTGGCACCGAACTGGGCACTTGGGGATCAGTGAAAAGAGACAGAACCCAGGCCACGAGCGATGTTCTGCCACAAGCAGAAGCCAGCCTGGAGTCAAAGACACCATTGGGGACACAGGGCGCTCCTTGTCCGTCTCCGTTAGAAAGAAGCCACCTGTCAGTCTTAAAGGTCCCGCTCCAATACCCCTTCCCTAGAAAACAACACATCTGCTTTTAAGAGAAAAAGAGTAAAATCTTTCATTAAAAACGTCCTGAGATAAATATTAGAGAAAACAGTTCCTAGGAAAAGAGGCAATTTTTACGAACAAAACCCATTAAATCCCCACCAGCCAACACGTTTGTGAAGGCGCAAACAGCTTTCTCAGACCCCCAAG